GAGGGGAGGGAAGGGAAGGGAAAAGAATTATTGTATTTTATTTTGGTTGCTGGTGATTGAAACCAGAGCCATTGTATGCTAAGTGTGAGCTCAACCACTGAGCTATACCCCATCCCCCAGTTGGCATTTTATAACACTGATTTCAAATTTCTGGGTGTGAGGGTGATGTTAATATTTATCTGTGTGATAGGTGCTGAGTAATTAGAACAGGCACCACTCAGTGCTGGAGTAATACCCTGGAGGATCCCCATGGGCTTGAGTATGAACCTTTTCTGTTGTGGATAATGAGGAGCACAGAGGTCTTGTGTAAGAGACTGGGGTAGTGACAGTAATTCAATGGGCTGAGAACAGCAGCCACCTGTCAACCAGCAAATACTTTACAACTTTTGTAGCCATGGGAACAAGCTTCCTGTCTGCCCAGGCTGGGAATCTAATTGGCTGAGCTGCCTCTATCCAATCAGCTATGACCAGGAATGCAGGGTCACAGTTCATAACTGCAGGAGCCATCTTTTACAGCTCTGTGATTCCCTGACAAGAGAGGTGACTACGAGCCAGACAGTTTCTCCAGAGATGTGATCATTCTCTTTAATCTTTTTTAAATTTTATTTTCTGTATATGAGTGTATTGCCTGCATGTAAATAAGTGTACCAGTGTCGTGCAATGCCCACCGAGGTCAGGAGAGGGTGTTAGATCCCCTGGAACTGGAGTTATGGAAGGTTTTAGGCCACCATATGGGTCCTCTGCAAGAGCAGCCAGTGCTCTTAACTGCTGAGCCATCTCTCCAGCCCCAGATGTGGTTATTCTTACCTCCCTGATGAAGGCTAGAGGTACCTGAGGAGGCATGCTAGCCTAAAATTGTAGAGACTCACTCTGCTGCCCCAGCACTCAGATTCAAGAAGGCAGTCACTAGGCACAAACAGATCATTCTGGGGTCTGAGGATTGACTCTGACCTCATCTGGGTACTCTCTACCTCCTCAGACCTGTTCATCGAGCGGTTCTGCATGACAGGTGGGAATAGCCCCATCTGCTACCTCAAGGCCTATCATACCAACCTCTACTTGTCAGCGGATGCAGAAAAAGTTCGAGAAGCCATTGACGAGGGTAAGTCAGAGTGAGGAGGGAGAATACAGGAAGTTCAGTAAAGGGGTCCCAGTAGTGGGAGGCCTGGTTCTGAAGCTCTGGACAAGTGCTGGGGATTGCCAAGGTAACCGGAAGGGGATCTGTGTATAAACTCCCACGATCTGTTTTATAAACTGAAAACAAAGCCCTACTTAATCCTCTTTCCCATCTCCTGCCCTACTGTATTTATTCATCAGCCTCCATGTTTCCATGGGAACCTTTCTTACTGGCCCAAAAGCTACTCCTTTCTGAGATTCCTCTGGGTTGGTAAGAGTTTTGATTCCTGTGTGACCATGTGAAGCCTCTGCCCCTCTCTGAGCCAGTGAAGAAGGGGATTCATATCCAGCCCTGAGTGCTAGACTTTCAAAAATAGTCATCATCTCCAGAAGCTGAACTGGTTGGTGCTGGGGTGAGATTAGCAGACTCAGATGCAAGTACTGACAAAGTCAAGTCCATCCCATGTGCCCTTTTCAAGGGTTTTGGGTGATAGCCATAGTCTCTGTCCTCCCAACAAAAGCCCATAGAGGAGGAAAGACTGACTGCCCATTTTCCTGGAAGGGCACCTCAGGCTGAATACTAGTGGGAGGTTCACCTGTCAACTACCCTCTTTTTCTTCCACGCTATCTCCTGCCTTGTGAGGCTTTCTTTAACCAAGATCCTGAAGGCATCTCCCTGGACACGTCACACCCTTTGGTTGGGATTTGGGAACCAGCATGTAGGTGTGCCTCTGTGCATTTGGAATTTGACAGAAAGGTGGTTAGGAGAGAGATCCTGCTCAGAGTAGGGTTCTACATCACCTAGGCATCAGGTTGGCAGAGCTGAGAAGGTATGTGGCCTGATGCTCAGGACATCTTGCCCTAGACATCTTCAAGGTAGGGAAGCTGCTGTGAGATCTGCACTACTCACTAAAGCTCTGCTAAGTCTGCCTCTGTGATTCTAGAGTCCCAAAGAGCAGGGCAGAAGTGGCCTTTGGAGAGATGAAGACCATTGAAGGGTTTCAGCTGGCTCTAACCTGGAGCCTTGGTCCCTGGCAGGCATTCTTGCTTCCCAGAGAAATCCTGGTTACAAAAAGTCTATCTACACTGTCATATGTAGCTTGTACTGCCTCCCAGGACCATGTATATTATCAGACAGTCTGAATCCAAATGCCCTAAATACAGTGTACTTGGATGCCTTGGTTACTGTAGATGGGGTGTCCAAACCCACACTTCCCCCACTACAGCTTGAGATCTCAACCCCACAAGGCTGGTCCACAGCAGCATGATTCTACTCAGTGATAAAGTGTTGAAATTCCTTTACACTGGTTGATAAATAGCTCTTCAGTGTCCTCCTGCCCAAGGACACCCTCACATCCTTCCACAAAGAAGCAACTAATGGGGCAGCCTTTAGGCATAGATAAGGCCCCTCAAAGTGCTGCCTCAAAGAGAGAGCCACTGTCCATTCTTTTTTTTTTTTTAAGACAGGGTCTCACTATGTACCCCTGGCTGGTCTGGAACTCACTATATAGAACACGCTGGCCTTAATCTCGAAGAGCTCCACCTGCCTCTGCCTCCAGAATGCTGGGATTAAAGGTGTGTGCCACCACATCCAGCTGATATCTGGTAGCCAGTGAGCTACCAGTCCATGAAATACCAGTTTTGTTTTTGTTTTTTGTTTTTGTTTTTTCGTTTTGGTCTTTTGAGACAGGATATCCCTGTGGCCCCAGCTAGCCTGGAACTCACTATGTATGCCAGGCTGGACTTAATCTTGCAGAGCTCCACCTGCCTCTGCCTCCAGAGTGCTGAGATTAAAAGTGTGTGCCACCACATCCAGGTGCTGTCCATTCTTATGGTCAGTGTCCATGAACTACCAGTTTTTAAATATTTTCAACACTAACCTCTTTTAGCATTACCCTTGGTCCTGGGGGAACAGGTAGGGCAAAGACAGCCGAGACATCCTCTCCTGCTTGTCTCTCTCTGCCTCAGGGATTGCAGCTGCCACCATCTTCAGTCCCAGCAGGGACGTGGTAGTGTCCCAGAGCCAGCTGCGCGTGGCCTTTGATGGGGATGCTGTGCTTTTCTCAGATGAGTCGGAACGCATTGTGAAGGCCCATGGACTGGACAGATTCTTCGAGCATGAGAAGACACATGAGAACAAACCTTTGGCCCAGGTGATTTATACCCCCAGAACCCCTAAGTAGGACAAGTTCATTCCCCAGAATCTGCTCTTGGCTTAAACCCCCAGCTCAGGGCTAAATCCTTATCAATCTCAAACCTCATCTCTCTCACTAGAACCCAGGCTCCTCTCAATGAGATGCTACACTTTCACTGAGCCCCACCCCGCTCTCAGATCAGATCCTCTACCCCAGGGGTTCTCCAGTGTCTCGAAGCTCCTCTCTGAAGCCTCTCCCTAGGCCTCCTCTTTGTTATTCTAATCCCCCTTTTGGGATCTCTATCGGCCTCTCAGAAGCCTCCACCCCCATTCTGAGCACTCCAGCCTTTTTTGAAGTCTCCACCCCTCCCTAAAATTCTCACTCTCTCTGAAGCTATGGTCGCTCCTGAGATTCCCCACCCTTCTTGATAAGTGCCCATTCCCAGAGCCACTTGTTTCCTTCCCTGGAAGACACAAAGAGCTGAACTGGTAACCCTGCCATGGTAGCTGGGGGGAAGCTGGGCAGAGGTTCCCTTGGGCCACCTCTCACCATGCCTTGATTAGATGGCTCAGGGAACCTCAAAGTTCTCAGTGGCTCTGTCCTAAGAGCAGAATCTGTCCTGGAGCTTGGTGGAATTCCCTATGGATCAAGCAGTGGCCCTCTCCAGTGGGCCTAGGTATTCCAATTTAAGCTTTTAGAGAAATCTAGATGCCCAGGGCAGGACAATTTTCCCACTAAGTGGTCAGCTGGGGCCAGAAGACCACTGCTTACTTAAGTCACCCAGCCAGGGAAGGTCTCCAACACTAGAAGCTATCTTCTCTTTTATCCAATTGCTTTAGAAATAAGCTGTGTTCTACAACACCATGTACTGCTTTGTTCACATGCCCTCAGTAACTTCATTGTTGTGGGAACTTCCCTGACCCTAGACAACTTGAGCCTGACACCTTGAGCCACATGTCTGTCCATGGGCAGCAGTTACACACTGGCCCATCTGTCCTAGATGTTTACGGCTGGAGTCCATTCTGACTGGCAGGTACCCATATCATCATAACTAGCCAATTTTTTTTTTAACTTTTTTTTTTTTTGGTCTTTTTGAGACAGGGTCTCCCTGTAGCCCCAGCTGTCCTAGAACTCACTATCCACTGGACCCCAAAAAGACCACCGAGGACCCACACACAAAAATGCAAAAGCAAAGGTTTATGGTTTATTCGGGCTTAAGCTCCGGCTCTCAGACCTCACCAACTCAACAGATCCATGCTGAGAGCCCAGAGTAAGGGAGAGTGGAGCCTTTTATAGGTTTTAGACAAAGGGGGGGGATACCGAAGATACATTTTGGTTGGTTCAAGGAGCCCACGCGCGCCAACATAATTTTAAACCAATTAGATGTATAAGATACAGCCCTGGAAGTTTCTTATTGGTAGGTGCTATTCTCAGGGCTGTGCAATGTGCTGACTGTTACCTGTGGGGCCAGGAGTCTCCGTTTTTACCTTATAGGGCAGTTTTTATGCTCAGGCTTGGTTAATCTATAGTTTCCTGGAAGGGGGGGGAATAGCAGGTGGGAGTCAGGGCATGCCAGGGCGTGTTTAGGCATGTCTAAAGCAGCAGCCAAGCATTTTACAGAAGCTAAAAGAGCAATTAGTCGGGGTCTGGAGGGATTGGGAGGTAGCGGGTGAATGAAGAGGGTCTCAGGGTTCTACATGTAGACCAGGCTGGCCTTGAACTCACAGAGATCCACCTGCCTCTGCCTCTCGAGTGCTGGGATTAAAGGTGAGTGCTGGGATTAAAGGCATGCGCCACCACGCCCGGCCCATAACTAGCTAATTTTAATGTCTTCCTCACTGATGGGCACAGAAGGCCACACTTAGAGAACAGCATGAACAGATAGATATAGCATGAACAGATAGGTATAGGTAATTGCCCTGGTTATGGTTATTCTGACACAACCTCAATCACAATAAGACAGACCCCCAGACAATAGGTACCTATGGCCCTATGATGCAGAGGGGCCAGAACAGGCAGAGCAGATCTACCAGAGAGATTTAGAGGTCCTGAGATTTCCTAGCCCAAACAACAGGACATGAGTGCTTTAGGGATAAAGGGTAAATGAGAGAAGTGACCTCAGGGCTGGAGAGATGGCTCAATGGTTAAAAGCACCAGTTACTCTTGCAGAGGGTGAGTGCTGGGTTGGATTCCCAGCACTCACAAGGCAGCTAACAATTGCCCATAAAGCCAGTTCCAGGGGAATCCAATATCCTCTTCTGACTTCATGGGCATTGCATAACACAGGTGCACTTACACACATGGAGGCAATACACTCATACACATAAAATAAAAATAATAAATAAAATATATTTTTTAAAAAGCTGGGCATGGTGGCACACACCTTTAATCCTAGCACTTGGGAGGCAGAAGCAGGCGGATCTCTGCGAGATGGAGGCCAGCCTGGTCTACATAGTGAATTCCAGGCCAGCTGAAGCTACAGGGAGACCCTATCTCGAAAAGACCAAAGGAAAAAAGGGAAAGGAGAGAGAGAGAGAGAGAGAGAGAGAGAAAGTGACCTTATGGTGTCCCTCTGTCTTTCCATAGGGCCCTCTAAAGGGCTTTTTGGAGGCACTGGGTAGACTGCAGAAGAAATTCTACTCCAAGGGACTGCGGCTGGAGTGCCCAATTCGCACTTACTTGGTGACAGCCCGCAGTGCAGCCAGTTCTGGGGCCAGAGCCCTCAAGACCCTGCGCAGCTGGGGCCTGGAAACGGATGAGGCCTTATTCCTTGCTGGAGCACCCAAGGGCCCTCTTCTTGAGAAGATCCGCCCACACATCTTCTTTGATGACCAGATGTTCCACGTGACTGGGGCTCAGGAGATGGGCACAGTGGCTGCTCATGTGCCTTATGGCGTGGCGCAGACACCCCGGCGGGCTTTGCCTGCAAAGCAAGCTCCAGCTGCACAGTAGCTGAGCCACCTTGCTCCAGGCACCCTGTCACACTTCAGCACAGAGTTCCTTGTCTGGTGAACTCTTCTACTTCCTCAGCATCCTCCCTCCTGCCCTCATCCCTCTGTGCGAGGTACCTGTAGGAAGTTATAAAGACAGGGTCAGCACCATCACCATCCCTCCTGGGCAAATGCTGCCACAATCCTGGCTGGGATAGCAGGACTGTGCAAGGTAGCTTGGATGTCAGGAGAAATCAGTGCAACTGAAGGTGAAAGGGTCAGAGAAGCCAGGATGCAGAAGGGATGAAAACTAGCTCATACAGTGCAAATACTATTCTGTGAGAGAGGATGGATATGGCATCTAAGTTCTGCCCTGGCATGGCCAGCATAGCTTAAGTCCCTCTTCTTGGTGGGCCTCAGCGCCCCGCCCCCCAATCTTTTAGATAATTTTCAAGCCGTCCTTCAGCCAGAGAGGTTTGGTTTTATAACATTATACACTAAATTAATCATTCTGTGCCAGGGCTCCTAGCACATACCTCATTTGTGAAGATTACCAGGAAACACCCTGCCCAGGTGAATGAGTTACAAAGAGAGAGCCCAGCCTGACCCAGGACATAGGCTAGATTTCAGCCCCATTACCCTGTCTCAGCCCTGAGGCCCACCAAACAGACAATATGCACAGAACTCCACAGCAGCCCTACCTATAACTTCCAGTGTTTGGAAACCACTAGACAAGATAACCTATAGCTTCCTGTGATTTGCTAATCTGAGCCTTGGAGGGTCAGCTGTCAGGTAGGTTTGTGGAAAGGAGGAAGAGGCATAATGTAGCCCATGTGCAAATTCTCCTCTGGCCAGCAGGGGACACTGCAGGCTCTTCCCAGAGTGGAGCTTTGCTGTTGAGGATTTCCTTTGCCTTCAGCTTTTAGCCAAAGTTTGGCTGTTCTGTCTCCAACCTTCTCACCTCAGCCCTGGGTCTTCCAGTCACTTCCGCCCACCATGCTGTGAGGCAGTCCTGCCAGTGGGGAAACAGAACTCTAGCCCAAAATTGGGAGAAAGCTCAGGATCTGAAGTGAGTGGTTGTCCAGGCTGAGCTTGAGGCTAAGGGTACAGCAGGGAGAAGTGGGAAGTGTCAGGAGGTCTGATCTGAGACCAAAGGTGTCAAGGAAGTGATATCTTAGAGAGGAATGACTTGAGTGTGCACTAGCACAATTCCCCTGCAGTGGACAGTGAGTGGAAGCCGGTCAGAGCTGCCCTAGAGATGATGAGCTGTCACCAGGGTGCTGTACAAAGGATTCTGGGATGAGCTGACCTCTCTGAAATAGTAGTCACCAGTGACTACTCCACCTTTACATGAACCCATGCAGCAACTTCTTCTCCATCCCCAGGGGAGCATTCCCACCACAGGATGAGTGATGGTCAGCCTCTTCAATTGCTACGCCTTGATCCTCAGAGGAAGGGTGGAAACATGGATGGCTGCTTCCCTAGGAAGACAGGAAGGATCAAGCAGACATCTGTGTGTTCACTGACTGCTGACTCCCAGCAGTGAGGAAAACCAGAGGCATCATCAGAAGGGCAGGGCAAGAACCTGGAGGTGGGGTGAAGGACAATCTGGAGATCCTAACCCCTGTCCCTAGGCATTTGACCCAGGATCTGAATGAGTACGTGTTCTAGGCAGTGTGGTTAAGGGTAACAGCTGCAGGATGGAGGAAAAAGAAAGATCCAAGGTCTTCTGAAAATGAGCACCAGTTTGGGCCAGAAGAGAAACACTGGGCTGTGTTTGTGCTGCCAGTGCCAGAGTCTGCAGAGGCTGTTCCTGGAAGACTGAGCTGGGTGTGAGGCAAACACCAGCCATAGCTGCCACTGACATTATTTTACCCGGAAGGGTATAGGATGAAGGACCTATTTGTACAAGGTCATTTCCATCATACAGCCATGGCCCTCCTGGCAAGACTAAGAGGTCTTGAGGCAGGGGAGGAGGCCTAGAAAGGACCTTCTTCCACTCCAGTTCTCCAAGCCTGGCCAGAGATGCTGTGGAACCTAAAAGCAGCTGCAAGGAAATGAAAAGGAGGTGGGAGAGAGATTTCAGCCTCAGGTCACCTTCCATCTTGACTGGATCACACAAAAGCCTTCTGCCCTGAATTCACAATCGCCCCTTTGAAGGAGCCCCCAAGGCTCACAGGGCCAGTCGTCATAAGAACAGCTGTGAGGCTGTTCAGAGAATTTCATCAGGCTGCCCGGGCAGGGAGGACCTGTGTACTGTGACACAGCACCAGATGATGCCTAGTTAAGACTCTGGGACTCCTGAGGTCTAGCCCTCGTGATGAGCACCGTGAGCCAGTTCTCTCAGGAAGCAGGAACATAGGCTGCTGGAAGCAGGAAGATAAGGTGCAGCCAAAGCTGCAGATTCACTGGAGCCGCTGTTAATAGACACAGACAGCCCTGAGTAATACAGAAACACTAAAGGTCTAAATTCTGTTACTGAAACCACACATGAGCATCACAAAAGCTTTTGGAGATGGATTAAAAGGCCAGAAGTCCTGGGGGCAGGCTCTGGCTGCAGCCAGACAGCCCTCCTGATGGTCTCAAGGGCTGAGGAGGTGCCCAGCAGCAAGGGACATTGTTTAGTGTGTCACTAGGAAGTTTAAAAGCCAAGTAAGTACCAAAGCTCCAGGCCCAGCCTCAGACTGAAACACTGGGGCAGAGAGGCCACAGCTTCCAGAACACTGGACCTGTTTAGCTGCAAGTACCACATCCCCAGGTCTGGCAGAACACTAGTCCTAAGTGCTTGCCAACAGAGTTCCATGCCCAACGGAGCTGCCATTCAGAGAACAGAAGCCCTGTTATTAAGCACTGTGACTGGTAAGATTACTGCAAAAACCCCTCTCTGGGCTGGGGATGCAGCTCAGTTGGTAGAGTGCTTGCCTAACATGTAGGAAGCCCTGGGTTTAATCACCAGCACTGCATAACCCAGACATGGCGGTACATACCTGAGATCCTGGCATTTGGGGGATGGAGGCACAAGGATCTGGAGATCAAGGTCGTTCTCAGCTACATAGCCAGTTTGAGGCCAACCCTATCTAAAAAAAAAAAAGCAAATCCTTCCCTAACTGTGAGTGGGGATGTAGCAGAATATACCAGAAGGAAAATGGACACTAGCAAGAAGTTCAACTCCAAAATGCATGGTTATTCATTGGTGTGCACCCATTCAGCCAAACTGACAATGAGAATATTGAAATTCCTCCTTAGCAGGTGGTAAATAGCCCTGTCCCAAGTCCCTGAGTATCCCTTGGCAACATCAGCTGCCCTGGCCCTGCACTATGAATTCTCCATAATTCAGCCTCCCAGAGGATGCATCAGTACTGGGGCTAGTGTCAACTCTTGAGGTGTTCTGCCCATACTGATTCAAGGAGCAACCATAATTTGCCCAAAGTCATTCCACTATTAGGTAGCAGGGTTGGGACTCCAAGTCCTGTTTGTGTGATGCTGGGATCTGAATGGCCATCGTTTTCCATACTGTGTAGTGATGGTCAAAACACTTCTATTTTGAGGTGAACTGAGGAACTTACCTGAAGCTAACATGTTGGTTTTCCACATGTTGAAATGCTGGGGTACATCTAAGTAGGTGCATTTTAGTTATAGTATCCTAACAACAATTCAAATTAGAGCCAAACATTTGTAGCATCCCTGAAGCACTTCCAAACAACCTCGAATTCTATGGAACCAGGTTAAAGGTCTTGGATTTGAGCTAATGCAAGGTTTGGTAGTCTCAGCTCCCTGAGTCCAAATTGGACATACTGCTATTGTCATAAGAAGGCTTCTATTATTTTTAGCACATCATGTCCACAGTTTGTGGATGTTCATGGCTGTTTCCACACCATGGCAGCAGATTTGAACGGTCACAATAGAAACTGCAAAGCCAAGAAAATTATCTGGCCCTTTTATAGAGAGCATTTGCTGACCACTGGGCAACGGCAAGCATCTCTGGCCCATACCCCAGTGGGATGAATCAGACCACATCTAAGGACAGAAGTTGGCTCCACCGCTAAGTCAAAATGGGCACTCCCTGACCATCTGACCCTTTCTTGATATTCAAGGATTTAAGATTCTAAGTGATCCATGGCCCACTGTAATTTGCATTTTAGTTGATGCATGAACTTGACCTTGACCTTGACCATTAACTTGAACAGGACCATGGCTATGGGAAGTTTTGCCAGCTGTCCAGCATCTGATCACTGGAACTCTGTGTACTCAGCTCCACAATGGTCTCATGGGGCCTCTTGAGCAGTGATAAGCACTGGTAAGTTTTAGATAAAGTAAAGTGCCCAACTCAGAGATCTAAGGAGTCATCCACACACACTCTAAAATCAACAAGAAGTTCATGAACAGGGTTCCCAGAGGGCTTCAGCTCAGAAGGTACTGATCAAATGAGAGGTCAAACTCCACCAAAAGTTGAAATGACAGTTTTCTTGTAAAATGAGGTTGTAAGCCACAAAGGCACCTTCACAATGGAATTATAACTCAGAAAGTTCCAGAATCCACTATAAACATGGCAAGTGTGAAAGCTGTTTCACTACAGCCATGGTTGCTGCCACCATCCTATCATGACCGTCCTCCTTCCTGTGCCAGGACTTGGACTCGCTATCCTCCCAGCATTTCAGGCAGCCCCTCCCAGCTGGAGGTGGCATGAAAGACGGAACCCGTTTGCCAACTGGCTGTGTATACTGTTGCTTTCCAGCAGGCAGGCCACCTGTCTCGAGCAGAACACAAGGAGCAGAACCAATAACATCTTGTGCTTAAAGCACGGTGCAGATGCCTCTCTTGCCAGTAGGTGGCACTGCAGGCTGGCACCGTGCTGCTGCTGTAGTTCTTGACGTACTTTACTTTTCTCTCCTTCCATACTTCTTGGTACTGTGTGGACTCTCCCACTAAGTAGATCTAGCAGCCAAAAAGGACTTCAGGTGCTCTGACAATGTTTGCTAAACACCTGTGTGATGAGCTAATGGCTCTCGCCGATAACCACTGTGATGGAATGTATGGATTTCTATGACTGCCACTGGATAAAAACTGTGTTTATGTGGGTGTGTGTAATGGCTCAGATTGTTCTGTTGATGACTGTGTGTGTGTGTGTGTGTGTGTGTGTGTGTGCGTACCATACTTGCACTCTTCAAGTGTGTACAGATGGTTATCTCCATTATTTGAGGATCTTGGGCCCCACGGGCTGATAACCAGCACTATTTCTTAGGACTGGTTCTAGCTACTCCTATCATATCACGGGCATCAGGCATTGCATGTGCACCGCCTGAGAATCACTGAGGCCAGACCTCCTAATATTCCTAGCTTCTGTCCAAGGGTCTTGCCTCAGAGCCCTCTGTCATTCACCCCTATGCTCTGGCGGCTCTGGGCAGAATGTGATAGAGTTTCCCTATACCCGCCTTGTTAGTGCCTTTTTTCTTCCCTCCTTAAAGTGCCAGGGTTAGCACGCACAGTTGGTCAGATTGTGAACCACAAACATGTAGGTGCCTACTCAAAAAATGACACAGTGGTACCTGAACCTGCAAATCCTGCCCACCGCACACAGATGCCAGAGCCATCTCACGGCCACAGCTAGGAAAACTGACTTCCTTCCTGTCCTCCTGGTGTTACCAAACATGATCTACCCTTATCTATGGCTAGGAAGTATCTCGCTGATGGGCCATCCCCCAGAGGCCACAGGCATTCAGTGTAAATATGGCTGGGGATGTTTCAGTTACTCATCTTTGTGAAGGAAGAGGCTCTGCAAGGCAAACCAAAAATCTAGACAGGAGCTGTCCTATTCTATTCCTGGCCAAAGGTGAATATGCCTTCACGCTATCTGTCACTAAATTAGGGAAAAGACTCAAGATTAGACTTGCAGCAGACATCAATCAGAAAATTGCCAAGGTCACTGCAGACAGAATGTGTGGGTCAAGGGTCACAAACCTCACATCTACCAGGGGCCACACAGGAAACAGATACAAGCAAAACACATTGGGCTGGGTCTTGAGAGGAAAAATAGCTACTAGAGTCCAGTGCACTCCTCACAGAGGAATGGCTGCTGGATGGCCTGATGGTCCACCCCATTTTTCCTGAGAAGTTAGAAATATGGATTTTCAAATGTTGGCAACTATTTCAAATTTAGAAAATGTTGTGCAAGAGGAATGGCTGCTGGATGGCCTGATGGTCCACCCCATTTTTCCTGAGAAGGTAGAAATACGGATTTTCAAATGTTGGCAACTATTTCAAATTTAGAAAATGTTGTGCGAGCCAAAGAAAACATATCTTGAAGGCTAAATCTGGTCCTCCAGACTCCACTTTGGCCTTGCTGGCCCAAGCCTGGTAA